TGATTGGTTAACTATCACGGAAAATCACGGGTAGATCTACCAAAATTAACCAATCAGACGAATGTCCTCCTATGAACCTGTAGATATATCTGTCGATCACCCGGGTAATCCGCGGGTTTACCCGTTGGATAACCGGGTAGCAATTTTTTGATCGGGTACCATCACTAATCGGTTTCCGGTTCAAGTAATAAACAAGTACCGGGTTTTTCAAGAATCACTATACGTATCCCTTTAAGTGACCTTACATATACTTGCGTATGCAAAAAGTACATATTTTGCATGAATAATCATCGTGATTTCTATATAACTGATAAGGTCACTTAAAAAAAAAAGGGACGTGTATAATGACTAGGGTGTCCAGAATTCTGCAGGAATTTTGATTCGCAACAATAGGCTACGCTTCTCGTATTTTATGCATTGCATCACTTACGTACGTACAATCGCCAAAAGTTCAGCCAATCAAATGACGCAATTAAAGATTTTAAATATGGTTGCGCCTTTTAACAGTTTACAAAAAAAAACGACAATAGACGCAGTAGACTGTACATAAATCCTGTACATAATTTCTTAGAAAAAAAGTCAATATAAACTAAGATGCCAATTAAAAGAACTAGAACTACTTCTACTTCGGCTGAATCTAATTCTGCGAGTAAATCAGCTAGAGGTTACTATCCTGTTCACTGTCATTTTTGTACGTATCATTACAATATATCCTTAACGAAATTGTCTTGTTAGGACGTGGGAGGCCGCTTTCAGCTTCTCAAACTCTAAATACATACGGAAAACGTGAACAAGAACACGTAGCTGCAGATACTGAAGAAGATTTGATGCAAATCGATAAATCAAGGTCAGCTAATGTTGAAAGTCCACAAGGCTCACCCAGACTAGGAATTCAAGATTCACAGGATTCACAAATGGACCTTATAGAAGGTCTTAATAGAGTATCTATCATGCCACCTCGAACACCTAGATATCGTAGTAAATTCGCTATAGACGTTCAAACCCCTACAATTGTTGATCGTGGTTCGGGGACTACCTCAGTTCTTGTTATTGGCAATAATGATGTAGGACAGTTGGGCTTAGTCGATACAGAAGAAGCTTTAAAACCTGTTTGCATTCAGGATCTTGATGATTTCAGGATAGTTGACATTAGTGTGGGGTGTCTCCACACTGCGGCTTTGACTCGTGATGGAAAGGTTACTTACGCGATTTTTATCTTTGAATCATAATTAAAATTTTAAATAGCTTGAAAATAACAAAAAATCTTTTTATTCAGGTTGTCACTTGGGGATGTAACGATCATGGTACGTTTTTATTATATTAAATTTAATAATCAAATATAGGGATGAAATTAATTTTAAATAATTGTAGGTGCATTGGGGAGGGTCACCAGTGACGAAGAAGACAAAGAATTACCACCAAATGTAGGTAGAGAGAACATACCTGACTATGCACAAGGTCTTGATGGTGTTACCATAGTAAAAGTAGCGTGTGGTGGTAACATTACGTTGGCCTTATCAGAAGATGGTCAAATGTACATGGCTGGGACATTCAAGGTATGTTAATTTTTGGTATTAAGTTATTGGCTAAAAAATTGACAGGCATTTGATCGATTTTCTGCTCACGTGATTTTCTGAAGTCAATAGTCAAAGAATTAATTTATGTTAGAGTTCGGGTATAAAGCGGGGTTATAAAAGGCTATAATATAACAAAAAAAAAAAAATAATAATTTATGCTAGGGTTCGGGTATAAAACAGGGTTATAAAGGGCAATAATATAGCAAAATCGTACGATAAAGTTTTGTGTTAGAATCAAAATACGATTTACTTGTCTAAATTTTGAAATGAGCGCGATTTTTACAAGTCGGTCGTTTTTTTTTACGTCACACCTGATCCTGATTTTTAATGGCTAAATGATGTCGGAAAATCACATGAGCGAGAAGTCTGGCGTTATGTTAGTGGCTAATAACATATTTTAATACGTTATTGCATTGCAGGACAAAAACGGTGTTTTGGGATTCTTCGCTAAGGAGAAAACACTTCTACAACAGTCGACGTTTATAAGATATGACTCAACTAACAAATTCAAGATCGCTGATATAGCAACTGGAACGGATCACGCATTGTTGTTAACGACTGAGGGTTTTTTATATGCCTGGGGAAGCGGAGATGCCCATCAGCTTGGGAGAAGAGTTTTGGCGCGTCATGTTCGAGATGGTTTGAATCCAGAAAAAATCGCAGTCAAAGGCATTGAGAAAATCTTTGCAGGTTCATATCATAGTTTTGCAGTTGCAGAAAGAGGAACTGTTTATGCCTGGGGTATGAATAACTACGGTCAGTGTGGAATAGAAACACGTGACGAATATATCACGCAACCAAAAAAAATAAATTTTTTCGAAAATCTGCCAAAGGTACAACAAATTGCAGCAGGAGAGCATCATACGTTGGTACTTTTAGAGGATGGGTCGATATATAGTTTTGGCCGGGCGGACTATGGACAATTAGGAATAGGTGACGTTATGGATCAAGACGATGAAGATGATGAAGAAAAAACTAAACAAAAAATAGGACAAAAAGTTACTACACCAACTAAAATTAATAACTTTGTTCCGTGTAAATTCATCGCAACAGGAGATCACCATTCAATTGCAACTAACATGGATGATAAATTGTATTCATGGGGGTTTGGAGAGCCATTTGGAAGTGGTGACGAAGAAAAAAAGGAACCATATTTACTATCCGGTGAAAGACTTGCAGGGCGGTCTATCTTGGCAATTGGTGGTGGATCTCAACATACCGTAATATTAGTTCAGTGAATCTAATCAGTAAAAAAAAAAAAACAAAAACAGCATTAACTAAATAAGCACGGATGGGATTTATGTCTATCGTTAAAAGTTGTACCCGATATAGTATAAACGATGTTTTTTCATTTTGTTACGAACTTTAGTAAACTGGTTGCAATAAATAAAATAAAATAAAAAAAAAACACTTGAATTATATTTATTTTGCGATGAGCAACAGTTAAAAAAAAAAAAAAGAAGCTAATTACGTACGTATTGAGGGTTGAATGGGATTTACTGTTTCCTTTTTAAGATTGCAGGTTAAGAAAATGCAAATGAGTTTAATATGCGTAAGTATCATGCCTGAAGATTTTCCATGAAAAAAATAATTCTGCTTGCATTTGATTGAATATAATTTTCCAAGAAATTCTAATATTTAATATCATGATAAAGTAATTATTATTTATTCAAATAGTAATCGCTAAGGTCAACCGAGAATGATTCAGAAATAATAATTTCTTACTTTAAAGTTCTCGCCGAATGGTTAAAATAAACAACCACCCGTAGGTAATATTCAGAGCTTCCGAACAAGTAAGCAAATCCATCATTTTGAATCTTTATATAACAATTCACGATTAACAAAATAATTGATGGCTTTTGTAGTTTATACATCAGAGTTAGTATGAACATCATGGATATCCGTTATGGACTTGTCTTTAACCTTATTAAATGAGTATAAAGGTTGCAGAGGTAAAGTTGATGAGGTATTAAAAAATATAGTATATATAAATGTATTTACAAAGCTCTATCAAAACAATAGGCGAATCAAAATCCGTTTAAGGTATTAAAATTATGAATAACCTTTTTGTTAACCACTTTGATTATCACGTTGTTATTAGTAAAAAGAACCTAGCTAGAAACTTTTAAGTAATTAACGAAAAGGTCCTGACTAGGAACTTATAAAATCAATTTTTTTGTTTTTATAACACTAAAATTCTAAATAGACCTATTCATTGAGTTTTTTTAAAAAAAAATATATTGTATGAGTGATGGAAAGAAATATTTGTAAATTATGCTTTTAGAATATTTACTTTTAATAAAAGCAATTGAATACTTAAGATTTAAATCTTATTTGAAGCGTGAGGCGATTCGATGATACTGAAATCTTAAGTATTCTATTACTTAAGATATATTAAAACTAAATATTCAAAAGCATGATTTACAGGTTTTTTCTTTACGCACTTATATCTATATATGAGTCGCTAATAGAAAACCCGAAATTTTAAATATAACTTATATTTAAATTTTCGGGTTTTCTTTTAGCGACACTCATATAATGTTTCAATATTTGACCTTGTCGCCGGAAAAGTATGACAAATTAATCAGGTTGTTTAATGTAAAAAACAAAATAAATATATCAAAATTTGTTAACACTAAAATTAGGGTTAGAATTGAATCTTAAGGTGAGACCATGTTTCTAACTTTATTGAAACTCAATTGAATCTTTTTACAAGAAAATTTACAAGAAAGAAATTATATATGAATTTCATATCCAAGAATAAAGTCTCAGACAAAATTGTCTGTGGCCTAAACCTGGGTTAGAATTGTGGTTAAGGTTAAATTAAGAATAATATAAAAATTTTTTTAAACAAAAATTTGAAATAATAATTATTTTTTTAAAACAATAATTATTTTTATGATAATCAAAAAAATTTTTTTATTTTTAAAATTATAATTTTGTATAAAGGTTTAAATTTTAATTAAGATTAGATTTTTGAAGATTTTAAACTTTTTTTAGTATATAGTCTAACTTTCTATAATTCACCTTTTGGGATAAAGATTTGTATGATTATAAGAAAAATTTTACTAAGATGTGTTTATTAAAAGGTTTTTCTATATGTTTATAATAGTTGGTTTTAAAATAAATGTGTTTATATAAATTTTTTTATATAATGTGTTTAAATAGAGGGTAACTAT